CTCGGCTATCGCCTCGAGTGAGTCTTACGCTTCTTTTGTGCTTAGCAACCTCCCGCGTGCATCCATAACTCAATAGTGTATGCTGTGGTGTTTACCATTTGTTAAAAACTACACAGGAGACAGACTTGGAATAAGCCCCAAGGCTATGTGTTGTAATATGGCAGAGTTGTACATTGAAAAATTTCATGACATATTGGCTTTGTAAGAAGGAAAGGTGCTGCACAGATCAAACCCTTCTGACAGGAGTTTATATTATGGTTCAATTATATCACTTTGGCTCAAACCCTTTTTTCTTTGATTCAATCTAAAACATTACAGGAACTACATGACACTGTATGATTACAATGCATTGGAACAATGCAAAGAATATGAATTATACCTGCTGAATCTGGAAATCCTCTCATCCCACTAAGACAAGCTACAGTTGGCTTGACCAAACCATCAAATCCCCGAAGATTCATTCCAAATCCTCGTGTGGAGCCCCTAATCAATTATTATAAGTAAACACCAGTATTTCATCGTAGAGGTGAAGTCCTCATCTCAATTATTTCAAATTCTCAATAATTGACATGTAAAATTTTAAATACATTGGCAATTTTCAATCAAAGATACTGATTTCACACTAATTTTAAGTGTCAGCCTTATCCTAATCACACATGTAAAAGCAATGAATTACATTTTTATCATTTTTTCCTTACAGCATGTTGGTGCATTGATCATGATCTATCACACCCACCAACTGACATCTGATCAACTAACAATCATTGTTCCAAAACACCTTTTAGTTCTTAAAATCCCATGGACCATGTGGCATACACCCATTTCAACACAGTACCATTATTTCCTGTCACTTCATCTGAATATTGTTTCTTTCCAATTTTAGCTGGGATGACATGCCAGCTAGCAGAAGTTACGGACCCACCCAGCTAAACTCTGTTTCCATGTTTCCCACACACTCATCCACAAACAATGTTGGCTAGTCAGCCTAAATTTAGATACATTTGTATTCTTTTTCTCTTTAATTAGAATTTACCAAAAAAAAACCAAAAAACTTCAGTTTGTACATTTAAGGACAATTTGGTTCTTTCTTCAAATAGAAATAAAAAACAAATAGAAGCTAGACTTACCCACTGAAAGAACTCATGCTGAATCCACGGTGAGTGCCACGGGTTGTTTCTGAAACATTTATCTTGGATTTGTTTCTCAAACCCAAGTCAACCAGTTTCCTGTTGCCCACCCCACTTATATCTTTGTTGTTCTCATCAAGTTTTAGGGTAACACTGCTGTCACAGATGCCCCTTTCTTCCAGCCTATCCTTAAGCTCCTGAACTGTAGCAAACCAGTTGATTTCAATCTTCTTATAACTTCCATCAGGTCTTCCAATATCAATATTAATGATCCTGTCCTTTAAAACCTTCACCTCGGGTATCTCCTTTGATGTCAAAAGCATACGGGTGAGTGTTTTACATTCAATGTCCACATCTTGTCCCTTGAACCTCAAAAGTTGCTCATGCGGAGGAATTTTGATATTATCAGCAATGAAACATTTAACATCATCCAAAGAAACATTTAGTGGATCTACTTTCATGATAATTGGGTCCCTCCCACTTGATTCAATCTTCAGTTGCTCTTCAGTATTGACGACTTGAATCACCTCATCTTTGCTCAAAGCATATGAGCTTAAAAAAAGAAAGGACAAAACTTACATTCAAGGTTAAGAAAAGAAGTTTTAAACAAGACCATTTCCAAAAAACAGGGTCATATTATAGCTTCAAATTTTCTGGGAGCCAACAATTTGTTCCAAATCTAATTTCTCCCTCTCCCATCCAGTCCAAGATGAACAATAATATCCTTGCCTCCCACAAAAGAGTATTTTTCCCACAGTTAAGAATATATGTGTGCTAACTGTGCTTGTAGCAAATTCATCTAAGATTGGAACCTCAGTAAAACTAAACAACATCATCAGTCAATTGAATACACTTGTGTACTACATTTATATAACTTTCACCTGATGGTTTTTCCTTCTTCTAACATTTTGCCACCTTTCAACAGGCAGGAGATCCTGGAGTTCCACTTTCTGCTGATTTCCTGTTTCAAGTCATCAACAGTTGTTGTACTGGAAAAAGCTACTGACACTGGAATGAGGCCTTCATTTTTACTTTGATTTCGTACATGCTGTGCAAATATTTTTAACACGTAAACTTCAGGTTTGAACTCCAGCTCAATGGAACCATTAAGTGCTGGAGTTTTACCATAGATGTCTACATTAGGATTGGCTTTGTTCTCATCTGCATGACTAAAGAACTTCAACCTTCCATTGGCCCAGGAGGAACCTTCAATCACCAGAGGGTTACGGGATACTGACTGCTTTGCTTCTAATGCCCAAACACCAAGGTACAGTCCACCAAAAGTTATGTCCACCTCAGCAGCTACAGGTTTCAGTAGAAAACCAAACAAGAAGGAATAGTGCTTTTATTAGAATTTCTTAACAAGAAAAAAGTTGAAAGGGAGAGTCGACACTTACTAGGTATGTCCCCAAAGGAATGATGGGGGCTTTATAAATTGAAAAAAAAAAAAGTAAAATGAGACAAGGATTTCATTCTTCTATTTCTACACATTGGATGTATTTGTTGTATAGAGACATTACTTAATTAAGAAAAACTTTACACATCTCAATGCATTAGGCTAAAATTCAGTTTTCACTGAAGTTTCCACCCACCATGATCATTTTCATTTCCAACAACAATACAGAACTGCGTTCCACTCTCCATCAAGACCAAGCCTTTGTCAGCTGTGCTTTCAATGAGGTGGCCTTTAGTTACCGCCACAGAATAGCCTTCTTTGCAATAGTAATCAACCCCCACCGTTAAGTCTGTAGAAGGGGGAGTTTGGCTGTTGGGCACAGGTGGCCGTTGTCCTGGATTAGTGAATCCTTTAGGTCCACTCAAACTTTCTTGACAAGCTAATAACTGTTGAAGTAATGCCATTTGTTGCTGAAGACTCAATTGTTGGGGATGTTGTTGGGCAGAAAAGTTGACCCCCATTGCTGCAGCAATTTCCATCAGTTCTGCACCAGAATGACTACTGGAGCCAGGGGAAGCATGATCGCTGTACATAGAACCTCCATACACTGAAGGTGGAGGAGTTGAGAAAACACCAGGTGGATGGTGGAACTTGGGTAGCCCCATGCTGGCAGGTTCTGATTCATATGGTTCTTCCTCATCTGATAACAAAGGCCTTTTGTCATGAGAATGGCAAGTGGACATGGGTGTCCCAAAGCCTGAAGGTGGAGTAGAGAAACCATCTGTACCAGGGTAGTGCTTAGGTAGCTTCATGCTGATGTGTGTCCCATCGGCTGAACCAGGCAGGGGTACCTTTGGTCCTTTTTTTGACGTCACAGCACTGTCATCACTAAAGTTTAAGTTGGACCCACTTCCTTCTTCATGAACAGTTCCAACAGGAGATGACGGATTAGAATACCCACTTTCTGTGGGTTCTTTAGAACTTTTGATCTCAGGAGGAACCAATACATAGTCTTCCGATGACCCACTTGCAAAATGTAATGTGCCATGAGGATTGGTTTCTGTAACTTAAAAATTATTTGAATCATTAACCTCCCTATTGATCTTCTAACTCCACTTTTTTTCAAATGGAGTCAGTCTTAATTTTGTAAACAGGAGATTTATTATAATTATAAATTATTTCATGCTGTTTGTTGTGACTCCAGTATCTGTGAGGAAAGAGAGTGGGTGTATGCTCAAAATAATTGACAGAATTTTCAGCAGAAAAAAAATCTGATAAATAGCTGAGAACTGAATTACAGTTATGAGTTATTTAACCCTCACTGATTGGGGAGGGGGGGTATATATTGTTAACCACTGTACCTTTGTCATCCACCTCCATGGCATTTTCATTGGCAGTTTCACATGGTCCTGCAGTTTTTGCTTTTTTCTCTTTCGGACGTGCTCCGGGATCATCTATTGGACTTTTCTTTCCACCTGAAATCAAAATTACAAACAAGAGAGTTTTGTTTTCAATAGTGAAGCCATGTGCTTATCAACATATTTGACACACACTGAGTTACATGAAAGTATCAATGTTTATTTTTCCCACATATTTGGTGTGACATTGATTGTTTGTGATGTTCTCTATTGAAATTTTTCACAGGAAATTGGAGCAGGGCTGGCCTAAAACTTGATCTCCTTGCCCAAGGACTATGTTTCACCACCATGTTTATAAAAAGCAATGGTATATCAGGGCGTAAAATTAACTTTTTTTCCGGTAGCCACTTGGCTCCTAAATATTTTAAAGTGGTAGCCAATTCCAAAAAGTTGGTGGCCATTATGACACACACACACACA